TGGCGGAGGGATTTGTATTTTTGCTGTTCTACAGCAAAGTCTAAGCTTGAGGTCAAAGCGATTACATTGATGGGCGTAGAAGGGAGTGATGGGTCTGAAGCTGTCGGATTTATGGACAAGCAATCAGATGATTCATGTTTTCTACCAGATTTATAAAATATAGATACATCGTATTCTTGAAGTTTAAGGGCCCATCTGCCGAGCCTTCCCGAGGGATCTTTGAGGTTGGATAACCAGCATAAGGCATGGTGATCTGTAACGACCTTAAAGGGGCGTCCAAATACGTATGGTCTGAACTTGGCAATTGCCCAAATAATCGCGAGATTCTTTTTCTGTTATTGCATAATTCATTTCAGGTTTAGATAAAGCACGGCTCGCATAAGCAACGACATGTTCTTTGCCTTCATGTTTTCGAATGAGGACAGCACCAAGACCGTATCCACTAGCATCAGTGTGTATTTCCACTTCAAGAGAGGGGTTGAAATGGGCCAAAACGGGTTGTGTTGTAAGCGCGGTTTTGAGAGCATGAAATGCACGTTGTTCGCGTTGAGACCAAATAAAAGGGACGTTCTTTTTCAAAAGGTGGTGCAGGGGGGCCGATATTTCAGCGAAGCCACGAATGAACCGTCGGAAATAGGAGCACAGCCCGAGAAAAGAGCGCAAAGCCTTTTGATTCGTTTGGGGGGGGGGGGGGGGGGGGGGGAACTGGGAAACTGCAGTTAATTTCTCGGGATCAGGGGATATGCCCTGGGGGCTGACCAAGTGGCCGAGGATCTTAATTTCAGTGTTTCCAAATACGCACTTCTTAGAGTTCAGGTGAAGGCCAGCGTCGCGAAATATTTTCAGCACAGCCGTGAGGCGAGACAAGTGTGTGTCAAAATTGGACGAGAATATTATAACGTCATTTAAATAGCATAAACAAGTTGTCCAACGCAAGCCTCGGAGCAAAGAATCTATGATTCGCTCGAAGGTAGCAGGAGCGTTACACAATCCGAAGGGCATAACACGGAACTCGTAAAGGGCATCAGGAGTAACGAAAGCTGTCTTTTCGCGATCTTTTTCGTCTACGCTGATTTGCCAATACCCTGAACGCATATCTATCGAAGAAAAGTAGTTGGCATCGTGTAGGCTATCAAGGGCGTCATCTGTGCGTGGAAGAGGGTAAACGTCTTTCTTGGTTATTTTGTTGAGGCGCCTGTAATCAACACAGAATCTCCAGGTGTTATCCTTCTTTTTAACCAGTACCACCGGAGATGACCAGGGACTGGATGAATCCTGAATGATATTTTTGCGCAACATGTCACTCACATGATTTTGTATAACTTCGCGTTCTTTGGCAGAAACACGATATGGACGACTGCGTAAAGGCTGGTGGTCTCCCGTTGCAATGGTATGTTGAACAATTGACGTTTGTGTCAGGGCAGTAGGTTGAAAGTCAAAGATATCAAGAAAAGAGCACAGTAGCTTATGCAAGGCGTCACGTTGTGACTCAGGCAAATTGGCGTTAATGGTCCGGCGAAGCAATTTGTGGGCATCCACGGAGTCGGAAATCAAAGGTGCGTTGAACGTCAAGCAGGTATCGCTAACAGCATTGATGTATATGACGTCGTGAAGCGTCGTTGTAGCAATGCATGAACCAGCTGGAAGGATTTGGTAGATGTTTGTCGTGTTTGCTACGAGAACAGTACATATACAAGAACGCGATCGCGTGAGAGCAAAGGGCAGCGCGAGACCTTTCTGAAAGAAAACTTCTAAGTTCGGTTCAAGTAAATAATCGGAGTCTGGAAGGTCTGCAGTTAACTGAATAAGCGCTGCAGTGAAGGGTGAAATTCGAGTGTTACTTGTTGCACGGAAAGAAACACGGTTGTATGAAAGAGGTTCAACGCCAGGGGTAACTTTGCTAAGGTATAGCGATTTCGTCTCACAGTCAATAAGCGCACGTCGAGTGACTAAAAAGTCCCAGCCTAAAATAATGTCGTGTGAGCAACTCGGTAGAACTGCGAAAATGTGACGATGAGGTTCATTTTGAATGATAATCTCGACAGAAACTAAGCCGAGGGGATAAATCAGTGTTGTGTTTGCGCTACGAAGACTACCGTGTTCCCAGGGTGTACAAACAAGTCGCAATCGTTTCCGGACACGGTCAGAAATTATAGAAATGGACGCTCCTGTGTCGACAAGTGCTGTGAAGCTTACCTTCTTAATGATTATGTCTAATAGGTTTGAAGAGGACGTAGTCGGTGGGGGACGTCGAGGAAGTGAAGGAGCAGCCGTACCCCCTTTAGCTGCTTCCTTTAGTTTTCTCCATCGTGAACTGATTTGGGCAGCGTTTGGTCAACCCGCATCGGAGAACGTCGCCGGTATCCTGCAGGTGAGGGGCTTCGGTTTGCACGGGCGCGATATGAAGGGGAAACTGAACGCCGTGGGTTACTAAGTAAGTGTTATTCTGCGTCTTGATGATAACTGTCGTTATGATAATCTCTGTACTGTGGGAAGGCTCGAGGATTGTATGCCCGAGAAGCATCCGCGATGCGAAGGCGACAGAATCTTGCTATGTTACCCGGTATGCCACAGTAGAAAAACATGGGTCGTCTGGTGGCCGGAGGGGAGGAGAACTGGCGGAGCCATGGCCTCTCGGAGCTTTGGACGAATCTGGGGTTGTAGTCGGCTTGAAAACAATTTGGTGTGCCGCAGGCATGCGCTGGTGAGGCTGCGCAGATAGTTTCTTGTGATGATGGTGCTGACTGTGCCAACTCGTTCCGAATTAGGGTTCGTATGCCTTCGGGCGACAGGTCAACGGGTTCGCTTTGGAGGTCACGGCGAGAGGGTGTAAAGAGAACGGCGAGCTCTTCTTTGATGATCTGCCGAATAATGTTTTTGATGTCGCCTGTCAAGGGTGGTCCGGACGACGCGACGCAGTTCTGAAGCCGAGAGACGGTAGAGGGTGAGGCAATGCGCCTGCTTCTGTGGCCTTCCCAGCGTTGGCACTCTTCCTGAAGTTGGGCCACGGTTGTTGGATTTCGTGAGACCAACACTGCGAAGGCGTCTTCGGCAATTCCTTTCATGATGTTTTCGACCTTTTCCATCTCAGACATGGTGGGGTTCACACGTTTGCAAAGCGCCAGAATGTCCTCGACGTAGGTGGTGATGGGCTCACCTGAAGATTGGTCTCTCGTTGCGAGTCGCTGGGTGGCGTTCTCCTTGCGGCTCACGGGACAGCCGAAGACGTCCGATAGCCGGGTCTTAAAGGCATCCCATGACACTATCTGTTCTTCATGATTGTCAAACCACACTTTCGCCGTGTCGCGGAGGTAGAACACGACATTGGCAAGTTTATGTGTGTTGTCCCAAGCGTTATGCACACTGACTCGTTCGAATGTGCAAAGCCATTCGTCGACGTCGTCGCTTCCGAAGCCAGCGAAGGTGGGGGGATCACGCTGACGGTAGGGTATGGAGCCAGTACGGATGGCCGGAGCCGCCGCTTGCTCACCTTCTGCCATGGAAGGCGGTGTAAGCACCCGATGACTTCGAAGATGCGTGATGGCAGAGCTGTAGATGGCTTGGACGAGGGACCCCCGCACCTCCACCAAGTATGTTACGGTGCTGGAAGGAGCGATGGGAACGGGGTGCCCTCCGAACGATAGTTTTTATTCAAAGCTGCCCGCTGCAGCGCCTGTGTGCACGAGCCACTGCCGATGGCCTGTCGTTTGTCTTCGTCACCGTCTATGTATCAATATATATATATATATATATATATATGGAAAGGAAAAAAACCTTGGTGAAAACAGCAACAACGGACGATTTATTCTTCGACGTTTCGGTCGGAGTCCGGCCTTCGTCAGGAAGTACTTTTACACATGAACGCAGGTGGTATTTATAGAATGCTACGGTCGAGTCCAAGTTTCTAAAAAGGGGGGATGACGGTTGGAGTTTCCAAAGAACCGTAGGAGGAGTTCCAGATGGGCAAACGCTTATACAATGCTGCCGTCGGGTCCAAATTTCGGCGGGTGACGGTTGGAGCTTTCGTGAGAGGGAAGCGTAGGGCAGTTTGTATCCGGGTGAAGAAGCTTGTCGGTCGGGGCCAAGTTTCAAGGACAGTGGGATGACGGTTGTAGCTTCTTTAGAAGGGGCGCAGGGTGACTTTGTGTAGCTACAACCGTCAGCAGCGTTTTTTACTTCGGCAGTTTTACACGCAATCTGACACGTGACGCCGACCGAGGTGTAGAAACCGAAAACAACTCTGTAACCGATTTTGGCAAACAGTCTTGAAGTCCCAGGCCAAGACGTCGACTCACTTAATGCTTTAAAACTCCAACAACGTTTCGAAGTGCGACTTCATTACTTTATATATATATATATATATATATATTGCAAACATCACCAAGCTGCTGAAGTACCCTCGAGGTATATAGGGGGAACGACCTACCAATCTCCCCTCTACCCTGTGAAAAGTGGCGCTTTTCATTGTTGTGGAAATTCTCGAGACAATTAAGCGCCGCGCGATACTTCTTGGAAGAACATAGCGTCTGAAATCTAGCTGATCGCTGCGCTATGACGCCATGATCTTCCCAAGGGCACCTCTTTGCACGTGCCTCGTACATCGATGTACCTTGCGCTGCTTTGGAAACATGAAGGGGCTTTAGTATTGGATGAGCACTTCCACAACAATGAATGATGCCATTGTCCCAAGATAGAGGGGCTTCAGTACTGGAGACAGCGCAGCGCAGCGAACGGCGATTTCACTGTTTTGGCTGTCGATCACTTCAGCCAACTTTACAAAGTGCCTACTATACAACTAGAGCTTACATTATGCATACCTGCTTATGTTTATTTATTCATATTTCCCAAATACACACACACACCTTATAAACTGTTCATCAGCAACCTATTTTTTTTATCTGAACATGAGAAAAAGCAAGTACCCCCACTCCAGTTGGCTACTAAAACAAACAGGAACCTAAGAACTTGTGTTCTAACAAACTCTTGCACGTGGAAAGCCATTTCAGTTTGAACATAATTTATTTTCTAGTTCATGATAAAAGCGAAATTCATTTGTTTCTTGAGTTTATCCAGTTGCCGCAACAACGGCACCAGCAGCCTTGTTGATCACAACGGCCGTGGCAACTTTCTTGCCGGCGTCGACGATCTTCTTCCTCCACTTACTGAACTTCTTCCTCAGACCGTAAGGAACCACTTCATCTTGAACTTCGTCAACTTCGTCAACTTCGTTAACTTCTTCGTCATGTTCGCTGAGGATGTCCTTCCCACTGACGTCAGGCTGCTCGAGTTCGGCAATCAACAGCGCCATCTCCAGTTCTTCCTCTTCTGTTGCTGCCGAGTATTTGCCCTGAAGCCATTTGCCAACCCTTTCGAGGGTTTCTCCTACTTTTCGTCTCCAGCGGTACTCCTCAGCTAGAATGAATGAGAAAACAACAAAAACAAAATAAGGAACGGGACACTGGTTGAGTGTAGTATGCCTGAAAAGGGAGCTTGCAATATAAAATAGCTCTGAAATCGTTGACAGCATTTAAAAAGCGAGAATGCCTGTTTTCATAACATCCGACGGAATATTCGAAACTGAAAAAGTTAGGCCGGAGGTGATTACATAGGCTAGACAACACCTTAACTAGAGGTCATGCATAGTAAACAGGAATGCCACGAAAGAAACACTCGAGAATAATAATAAAATACAACATTACGATGTGATAGTCGCAACAACATGTAGATTGTCCGCAAATGAAGCTGAGTTTTTTTACTAAAAAATAGTCCGAGTGATAATAGTGTTTAAAAGTAGGTATAAACTGTGTATATTTCGAAGACAAAAGGCTTATGCTACTGCATGGAAAAGTTTCTTTCAGTCTGGAAAATGATTTTAGATAATTATATATAATGGCCATTAAGACGCCAACGAATTTACACTAATATTTTGGATATTATTGGATTGTCTTGGTAACTGTTTTTTTGTTATTGAAAATGTCGGATATCACTAATTACGGCGTAAAAACAAAACAACAACAACAACAACAAAAAAGTAGAATGGTAATTGGTATCCACCTTCTTCAGCAACTTCCTCGGGCTTCGTTGTTTCTACCGGCTCTCTGAAAGAAGAACATGCTTCATAAATATAGATTTGTTTGAACAGTACCATTCTAGGAGGTGAAATAATTTTAAAATGTTTTACTCACATGCTGGCGCCGCCTGCAGAAGATGAAACAAAAAGACGGAAAACAAAGGTTTAAATTGTATGCTTTTTTAATTCATCATATTCATCAAGTTCTTGAGAAACTAAGCCTGATTAACACCTGAAAATAAAGTTAACCCCCCTGTTGAGGGAACTAGATCTAACATTCGGACCTGTTAACATTAAGAGAACTTATTGTGGAGCAAGGAGTGATTTCAAGACCTTTTATTTACTGCTTTAATTTCACAATCTTATGTTGTCTCCACTAAGTATTATGAATTTCTCCATGTGGTCCTTCACAAACAAAATGAACGACACATTTCCATACATTAAAAAAATGCTTAGCTTTGAAATTTAAGAACCTCATTTGATGCGATAGTATTAGGCTATAATTGCAAAGTGGCCAGTGAACCCAGTTTACTCACATGTCACAGTCAACAAACCAGCAAGAAGAAAAGGTAAAAGCAGCTTCATTTCACTTGAAAACTGAAAAGAAGAATCCCAAGCAAGGTTTTACTGACAGTCCCTGTTTTGTCGAACACACGCGTTTGGGCAAAAATAAAGTTGGGGTGTGAGGATGCATTGCACGCTGGTAAACCGAGGGCAGCATAATCAGGAGCCTAGAGATTGAAGCACTGGATGTGTCGCCGATTATATTTACTGACAGCATTAGAAGCGTAGAGCCGCGCAATAGCCGTACATCTTGTTAACCTTAAAAAAACATAAAAGAAGCAACAACAAGGAATTTGTTTACAAAGAACCACACTCTTTCTCTTAGCAACGAGGAATGTTTTTCTTCGCACACTGCTATTTTGAATGCTATTTTAAGTATTCATAATTACAGAATGCTCGCTATAACCAATCTTGTGCAATGAAAATGTAATGAAAGCAATGAAAATGCGACGTTATTATATAAGAACTCTGAACAACGAAGTACGGAGTAAAAATTCACCAGGGGCTATTGGAGACTCGGGGGTCGCAAAGGAGACGAGTTACAGTGTGTATGAGTAAGCCAAATATTATTAATCGTCAGATGCATAGTTCGAAAAACTGAACGTGCCTGCACGTTACCAGAACTGGTAACCCGAAACTTGACTAGCGCGATTATACCGTGAAAACAAAATGATACTGACAGGAGCATGACGTACTGTATCGGAAACAAACAAACGTCTAGGATGCGAGAAATGACAACTCACCAGTCAAACGTTCCTGGAAGAATGAATGAATGAGATCTTCTCTTGACGTTTTTATAGGGCTCTATTTACCGCCGTAACGCAGGATAAAACCTTCACTAGGCTTCTAGTTTTTCCGTGGCAGAATTTATCTTGTGCATTATGTCTACACGTGATGATAACACATGTGGGCAATGCCTCTTGACTCAGACAAAAAACGATAGGGCATTTGTCAGGTTTCAGTGCGGGAAAACACAGATCCTGGCGTATCGACATTCTGATATTGAACGTGCGTCAATGTACGTCATTTAACCTTCACAATTGAGGCAGATAAAGTGATCGAAGCGAATCTATTGCATTGCGTATTTACGGACCTGATTTTTTTCCTAAGCCGTATCGACTACTTACGTATTTTAATGTTTGAGCTCTAAGGTTGTGTTTTACTGAGTAAGCAAACTGAAACACAGACTCCATACAAGTTACTGGCCTCGAGATCCAGATTCAATTTTGGGGAAGCGTGCTCTTGTTTATCCATGGTTCTCTATAAAACAATTGAAGATTATATCTGCCCAAACTGACGCTGAAGAAAAAGCTCCCGAAAAATTTAGCGGACAAATTGACGTCACGTGACCCATGCACCCCTTCAGTTTCCCCGCTAAACTAAGCGAAACGATTGATGTCACCTGAGTTATGCTCAAATTCAGTTCCCCTGCTAAATGTGGCGGTAAACTTTATGCCACGTGAACTGACTTCATTTGACCTGCGGAGAAATGTCTGTTACCTGCTAAATTTAGCGAAACATTTGACGTCACGTGACCTATGCACCGATTCAGTTTCCCCTCTTAGTTTAGCGAAACAATTGATGTCACCTGGGTTATACGCAAATTCAGTTCCTCTGCTAAATTTTGGCGGGAAAAGTGATGTCACGCGACCTGACTTTATGGGACCTGCAGACAAATGCCTATTCCCTTCTAAATTTGGTGGAAAAATAGACGTCACGTGAAATATGCACCAATTCAGTTTCCCCTCTTAATTTAGCGAAACCATTGATGTCACCTACGTTATGCGCAAACTCATTACCCCTGCTAAATTTGGCGGGAAAATCGATGCCACCTGACCTGACTTTATAGTATGCAGACAAAGGCCTGTTCCCTGCTACATTGAGCGGAGAAATTGACGTCACGTGACCTGTGCACCAATATTTTCCCGCTAGATTTGGCGGGAAAATTGATGTCACGTGATTTGACGAGATAGGACTTATACACACATTCAGTTTAAAGTGAAATTAACAAAATAATAACGACTTCTTCCTAAATACTGAATTTTATGCATTATAGTCCTTTCAAGGTAAAGGAAAAAACCACTTTGAAATAATGTTTTTACTATAAAGGAACAGCTGTTCTCTTTTTGTTTTGGTTGAGCACTAGAGCATAAATTGCTCCTAGCAGCCTTGAACAGTAAAATTTGCACATATGAAATATTTCTAATTTGTAACAAGGTGTTTTGTCTCTTCTAGCTGTACAAACTGTGTGCATGAGCGTAAGCATTTCTTTTTTTTTTTTTTTTTTTTTTTTTTTACGGAACCAGCTTTTTAGTTTTGAAAGCAATAAGTCATTGCTAGTCAAAACCTGACTCCACAGATGCTTATCAGGTTAGCACCTCTCAAGGAAACGACTGTTCTCTCTTGGTTCTAATTTAATACTAGTGTGGGAAATCGGAGCTAGGATCCTTGAACTGGAAAATTTGCACGTTGGAAGGATTGATAATTTTTAACAATAAGTTTTTTTGCTCTTAAGCCTGTACCAAAAACTGCATAAGAGTGGACGTTAGTTAACCACTGTTTTAATCCTAGGGGCAATAAGTCATTGCTCACCAAGGCAAGTCACTCCTATCGAAAAAAAGACTCCATAGGTGCATATGAAAATAGCACTTTTTGGGGGTATTTATTTTTTACTTTAACGATACAGCTTCCTTTCATTTTTCTAACCATTCGGTAATACAAAGAAGTCAACCCCAGCAACCATGAAACGCAGAACAGGAGTTCTAGCAGAGTACAAACAATTTCTAAATTCCGCTGAATTCAGCTAATTTCTTTAAAATCCCAAATCAAAAGAACAGATTGTCGCGGATATTGTAACCTATTCCTGCGGAACATTTTATAGTTTGGTAGGTTTTCTTTTCATAATGAACGATTCAACTCTGCTGGTGCCAGGGCATTGACAGATTTCTAGAACCGTTGAACACAGATAAAGCAAGTTATCTGGTGCATGACTTGTTCACCTCAAAATGTATGTCCATTTCTTTCTTGCAGGTATTGGGCATGTTGAGTTTGCGCTCCTTTACTTTACTCCGAGTGCATCAACTAAAGAAGCATTACATACAAAAGTGCTACACAACAAAGCACTTGATGAGGCGCATGAGCCCCTCCCTACTGTACTGTTATGACTAACTGGGCATCTCGTGAATACGGGTAGCAGAAGGCGAAATTGTTTCGAAGGTAAATTAATTAAGGCCTATGCGGAACGGCAGAGTGTTGAGTAAAGAAGATGGTGGCATTATAAGTTTCTTCAAATATTTTAATACTTTAGAATGTTTTTAGAGGCTCACTTGGAGCACATTGGCAGCAAGTTACTTTGACGGACATATTTATTCGGCAAGCGTCCTGCTCATATTTAAATGAAAGACAACGTTCTTGAACTTGCTTGTTAACGTAGGAAACTGTCAAACTTGTCAGACCGGCGCACCAAATTCAGCCCTCTTTAAAAATGTTTTTTTCAGGCGAGATGCACGAATAAATATTTTCCAGAATGCTACGTACTTGTTTTCTTGCTTTTGAATCAAATTGCCTTTTCATGCTGGGTTCAGCGTTATTCCTCTCAAAAGGGGCAGCACTTTGACTGCACCATTCGTCTCGTCAACGTTTTTTCAACGCAGCCATCTTGTTCTGAGATTAAAGGTCACGAAGCGCTGAGAAGCTGCTCTCGCTCCGAGAAAAACTTGGTGCAGAAAGAGCGCGCTCAACGGTCTGTCATAGGAGGCAGGCAAATAGTGCTTTTTTACTTTAAAGTAATCCGCAACAAAGCACGAACAAACACAACCTTGTTTTTAAATAGAGAAATTGGTTATTAAACATCCAATTTCTTGCTTTTGGGAAAACAATTTACTATGTTTTGTTTTGCCAATTTAATATACCTTTCGGAGATTTAAGACCGCGCTTTTGTACTCTTGCCCTGACGTTACGAGTTTAATAGTTCGAGCAAAGCAACTAGACGGAGTATAGCGTATTGGAGGGCGACGCAGAGAAACTATCGACGAGCTGCTTGAGCCACTTCGGACAGCACGATTATGACGAACCCGGCATCTCGTGGATACGGGCGGCAGAAGCCGAACTTATTTCGAAGATACATTAACTAACGCCTGTGTGTAGCGGCACCGCCATTTGACAAAGGTTCAGATTTTAGTAAGCACTAAAAGCTAAACCATTTGTTTGAATATGACGTACAGTAGGGTTTCATCAATTCAAACTCCAGGAAGCCACAAATTTTGTATGAGTTATCAAAAAGTTTGTATATCAGAAGTTGATCGAAATATGATTTAATGATTTACTTTACACGAGCCTAGTAATCATAAGCAGGTATGCCACTCCAGAAACATCGGTTAAATTTATAACAAAATTAAGTTTATTAATCCCTCAAAAATATTGTTTATTAGGGACTGTTTAACCGCACATCACACGTCAAAAATAAAATTAAGGTTTTCATTCAGCAAATAAGTTTTTTTATGGACTATTAAACGGGGACACATGAGTAATGAAAACCTACCTCACTCTGCAGTTTCTATGACAACTTGCGCGAACACTGTGACGTAAACCTATGCCATGCCACCACGTCACGGCGTCCACGCAAGTTGCCATGTAAAGTGCCAAAGGTTTAGGAGGCAAATGTGGAGGCACCGTTCGCCGAAATTGGGCTGGGCGTGTTTCGGAGTGTTTCAAAAAATTTGAATGTGACCAATCTGATGACGAATAATAATACCCTGGCGGAGGTCGCGAGAAACGAAATTAATAAGCGCGTCGAAGTAACTCTCGGTGGCTGGAAATAGGGTTCAAATAGTGTTTCGATTGCGGTCATGAAAAATTATGGTTTAAGATATATATAAATATTTAAGATTAAAAAAAAAAAAACACGCCCGACTAGCAGAATGATTGACGTAATCCGTACGCCAGGCGCCGAGCGCCGAAATCTGCCGTCCAAGCTGTCACACTCCGTCTGAGCAAAACAGAGTTCAATTGGCACATTCGTTTCTTACACCTTTTTTGCATGGTCATAATCGAAACATCACCTGCATCAT